TTATCATGTGAGCGCAATTCAATTTTCTCCACAGCGCAATTTGATTTGAACAAATGTCTTGATTCGGACTAAAGGGGCCATGTGACCAGACTCATGTCCTCGAGGGATGTCTCTGCACAGTTGACTTGTGGTCTCTCTTATTAGATCAAATAAACAAGCGCACGAGAGAGAAGACGGCGTGACGAGCCTGAATGCGCATCGCAGCTCGCCTGCACCCTCGCGCACACACATGTAGAGTTAAAGAAACTGGCAACGATCCAGCTGAGCGGAGCTTTATGCGTGTAGATTTATCCTTGGCCATTAAAATACATTTGATTTTTACTCTCCACTGCTGATTTCCTCTACAGGAGTCCAACCCGCCTTTAACAACCACTTTCTTTAACCTTCTCCCCTGCTCATAAAACACCAGCCGCTGTCCTCTTCCTCCACCTTCCCCTCCCTCTCCCGTCTCTTCTACTGTATCTCTCTCGACCTCCACTACGATTCTATCTTTATTGGATGTGTTTGCCTTTCTCCTCCTCCTGTCCTTGCCCCCCCCCCATGTCCCCTACTGATACCCTCTCTGCCCCTGAGCTATTTTTTCTTAATTGTCTCTTTTTCCTCCTGAATGATCGATACGTCAAATTTATCTGACAGTTGGTGAAGAAGGACAGTTCTCCGGCTTTAAAACACCCAGAGGTCAGCAAAGGTGAGCGAAGAGCTTTCAGTGGAGGATATTCAAAGCGAACCTCTCTTGCTTGTTTTCAGAGGATGGCAGCTTATTTTAATGCGGATAATGACACGAAACTCTTCCCGCCTGATGATATCAATTTCTGCTTTTACGACGACAGAGTCAAGCATCGTAATATACTTCTATGGGAGCAAATGTCCTGTAATGTAGAATTAGTAGACTTTTACTTCATGAGGAAATGATTTCCTGTCCTAGCTCTAGTTCCTCTTTTATGCATCGTCTGCACTCTGTTTACGGTCTGTGTTTTGCCATAAATCTGATGTTAGCTTCATACAAATGTGAACTAAATGTAACAATATTTTCCCATTTTGGGAGCTGAAATTATATTTACATTCACGCATTAAATCTGCTCGTTAGAAGAAGAAGTGTGGATGGGACATTAGAACCTTGCGGCTGGTATGGAGCATTTTGTGAGTCTATTACGCGGATAGTATTTATGCAAGAGAAACTCTGAATTATTTGTCCCCCCCCCACCCCAAACACTGCAGCCTCCATAAAGCTGAATCAACACTTCTCTAGAACAGAGGTGAGATTATTGATTGTATTTCCAAACTATGTTTCCCTTTTAGCGTTACAAAAGGAAAGGGCTTTCAGGATGGGGACTAAGGCAAATGTAACACCCGGTAACATTGCTCGAGTGTGAGTGTTGAGCCTAAACTCAAGCATCGAGGACAGGCTCCCTCACAGTGGATGTGCTATTGTGAGCAGGGCTTTTGTGATGTAGCCCCCGCAATGCTCCTTGGTCATGGACGTAAAATTCGGCAGAGACCTGTTCGAGTCGGAAGACCCGCTCCCGCACCGGCACCACGGCGTGCAACAGTGTACACAAATCCTATAATAACCATACGCTGTTAGCTAATTTTGTGGCCGAAAACAACCAATGCTGTCAATAAAATGCAGTCAATTTCATTGACTTATATTAATGTAGTAATAAATGTACACATAGGCCAACCAATTAGATCGGAAAGATGCAGTCAAAAGGATTTAAACAATAAAACTTGACATTATCAATATTTTCATTTGTATCCTAATCTATTTACAATCCACACCCTTGATCTGACCAGCATGATCTTTGTTTTACCCAGAAAGCAAACCTGAAAATGAAATGAGGACAAAAACATTTTTTGCACCCGCAAATCTCCTTTTTGACGGGTCGCCCAGCGGGTACCTGCAGCCAAAACAGGACTCAGACGTTCCAACTCTACTGTGCAGCAGGTATCAAGCCATTTAGCTGGGCATGCTAACATCTGCAGCTTATGTTGGAGCAGACAAACACACTCTTTAATCAACTTCTTAAGCTTTTGCAGATGATCAAGTGCAGGTTTGTTGTACGTTTACACATGGCTTTTTTTGTCATCTTATGAGAATTATATTTATATATATTTATTTTGGTAGAGCACATCATACTTTCAGGCACCTGTGAATGCTTTCTAAATTTTTTTTTACAATTGCAGGAAAGTTATGACGGTGCCTTCCAATAAATTGCTGAAAAACAAGTGTGTTCCCTGTCCAACATACAACACAGCAGAGTTAAATGGCATCGCTTGATGGAATAAAGAGAAAAAGAGACAAATGCTCATGTCAGCTTTTCCACCCCAGATGTGAATACACAATGCAAATTAAGGTTATGCTCCTCACCCTGCTGCCTCCATGTAAAGCACAGCAATTGTTCTGAATATTGTGTTCAGAGGACATACATGAAAATGTATGTCTCCTTTTGTTTCCTCGTGTCTCTTATCCCCGAATACCCTCCTTCTCTTTCCCTGCATCACTCGCCTTCTGTTTCTTCAGTTCTGTTATCTATTTTGCGACTTTCCTCGGGCCATTTCTTTGTCCAAGCACCCCCCCCCCCCCCTCTCTCTCTCTCTCTGGTTGACCTAGCACCAGTTTCATTTCCGCTCGTTCATCCGCCTGTCTGCTGTCTCTATTTTTTTTTTGGGGAACTAATCTCTTTTCCAATCTCTCTCTCATATATGCTTGTGCATGAGAGTTAATGAAGGGACTGCATGGGTAACCACAGGACGACTGTCGGAGACGGACCGGAGTAAATATATGCATGCGTACTAACATGCACCGACGGATCAACCCGACCACCGACTGTGTGCTGTCTGGAATGACAACAGCTGTCAATTAGGCAACAAATAAGTCTTACTTGAATGGCACATTAATAATTAGCTGGAGCTTTGGCATGACTGAAATACAAAATATCTTCTCCATCACTACAATAAACTCCCGCAAACTTCCCAAAGCCCTGTCCTCTTCCAGCTCAATTATTTATTATTTGTAATGTTGCTCACACAGCCACTGTTACTCCGTTTCATTCAGCAGGAGAAGGAACTTCCGGTTGAAGGCTAAGAGGACAAGGTTCCCGGTACCACATGTGGTCTGCACTGTCCTTGCACGTCTTCTTTTGAGACTATTGCCTTGAGTATTTTCAGTTGAGGGAAAATGACAGTGGCAGCGCACATGTGTTGTGTAAGTAGATTTGTGTATCCGGCCTCCCAGTTGTACCAAAGAAAACCAACAACAACCTCAGTCAAATTAATCAGTCTGAGATTAGGATTCCCAGTGGACTGTGCCAGTTATGTTTCAGTGAGCCGTGTACACAAAAATGGTGTAATTGCATTTTCCAAAACACACTTATCGGTTTTCCAAATTATTTCCTGCCTCCCAGGCCATAAATTTCAGGATGATCTGAAAATGATCTTGCTGAGACTCGAAAAAAGTAGCTTGAGACAGAAAACCCTTCACAGTTCCCCGTCACAGTCACATTATTCATTCACCGCAGCAGTTGTGAGCCAAAACAAACCCCTCTCGTTTCATTATGATGCAATCAAGGCCACTTTGATATGTTTTCCTTTGTAAACACTCCCTGCTTCCTGTTGAATTACAAAGATATAAATACATTTGATGGGTAAAAAAAGAATGGCAGCGAAAAGTGTATTGATGTACAGAATGTTGGCGGTTGTCCTGTTGGGCATAGACGTCACAAGGGCGGCAGGTAAATGAAGTCCCGGCCCACCGGTGCTGCCCATGACCGGTCCGACTCTGGCCTAACCAAGTGCTTCCCACAGGATACTGCAGCTCTTTCAGTGCATGTTTACAGTTAAATGCATCTATGTGGAGCTCTTTGAGAGCAAGATTAAGAGGCTTGATCTATGATGACCGTTGTTGCTTGTGAATTTAGTGCTCTGGTAAACAATTCATTCATGTACGCATATTGGTTGTAATGGCGATGACGCGGCAAAAAAAAGTCACACCCGCAACCACCTTCACTCCGGGTCTTTTTTCAAGCCAAACTAGAGCCGGTCGCCGCACACTTGCCACGGAAGAAATGCGTCCTGCGAGAAAAATCATAATTTTGTTGGAGATGAATATTTTTTTTTTTGTAGTTTTCAGAGATAATTTATCATAAAAGCACCGCATATGCCATCTGGCTTAAAAATTTGAAGGCTGAAATAATATTCTGACTGATGTTATCTGTTTCTTGTGCTAATGTAGGTACCATAGCCGACTCTGCCGCTATTAATCACACCGCTGTCACTTTACCTTGCCATTTTTTGTCTCATATGCTTTTTTTGTTGTTGTTTTATGTACCTCTTATTTTATCTTTCTTTTACTTCCTCTATTCATCTGCGCTACTGCCGTCCTTGAGCCGCTGCAACAACCAAATTTCCCTTCGGGGATTCGCCAAAGGTTTATCTTGTCTTATCTTATCTTTAGGTAAATGGCCATGTGGGGGCAGTGGTATCAAGCTGTAAACACAACACTGACAACTTATCACATTATAGAGCAGCTTTGGTGAATGGGTAAGCGAATGATCGCATTTTTAACACATAAAAGCAGAAATGGAGCCACATTTCCATTCTTGTGTGGTCGTGTTTATTTGTTGAGGGAAATATCTGGCTCCGCTATGTTCACCACTGTGATCCTTTAACAATATACCAATTTTGATAATTGCAGCTTTAAAAAGTGTATAAATTAAATTAAAAAGTAACATTTTAATTATTGGATTGTGCCGTGTCATTATATTCACATTTGGATTCATTCAAGTCAAACTTCTTGGTTTGTTTATGAATGCATACCATATTGTTTGGAGTCATGAATAACCCCTACTTCCTTTAAATAAACTGAACTCGTTTGACAGTTTACTTGTCTGCTGAGTTGCAAATAGAGAGTCGGTGGAGGAAGAAACACAGAGAAATACATTAAAAAGCAGCGCATGTGGAGTTAGAACAGAGGAGGAGGAGGAGGAGGTGAGTAATCTTACCATCGTCTCCTGATCCTGAGCCTGCATCTGCGGAGGAGAAACAAACAGTTATTAACCAGAGTCTCACTCACAGACATCAGCTGAATAAGCCTGTGTATCTGCCTATGTGAGAGTGTGAGTCTTGGCCTGTGAATATCTGCTTGTGAGTGCACCAGGGCTGTGATGAATGCCATTTGTTTTCCTCACATTTGAAGCTTCTATTGAGGTTTGATGCTATATTAATGCTCCAAATCTCAAACAAAGAACTTTAAAAAAAAAAATAACTGGTGAGTTTTGTCAACATAAATACACACGTGGTTTTATGATTGTAATTTACGGTGCTGTTAGACTGCTGCTAGACTGCAAGCCGAATACTTTGTTAGACAAAAGCCTGTCGGAAATGATTACGTCTCTTTTTTTTTCAATCAATTTAGAGTTCTGGACTTCGCAAGGCTCTGGAGTTATTGGAAATAGTTTGATAAAGATTCAGCACCAATCCTATTCAACGCTGGAATCTAATCCTGCAAATAGTATTTCACTAATAATATTAGCGTCGCCCGATCTTTATCTGCAACCTGTGCAGAAATAACAAGTTTATAGACAATGAACGGTATAATGCAAAAATCAAATAAATCTGCATTCAAATATTGATTTAGAATTCCAATGTTAGTGTTATCAATGACGCTTCGTACTATTTGTTCCAGCTTTAGAATGCGTGAAGAGACACACTTTATGTTCTTGTGTGTGCATTTGAGCGATTCTTTCTGAAGGATGGTGCAGAAAGTGATACTGAGAATAAAGGTGAAAGGGCGCCCTGGAGGCTTCGAGCATCACGCATCTTCTCCATTCCTTTCTGCGGTAGGACTGTGGGAAGACAATGTGTTACGGCGACTCCTTATCCGCGGCTTTCACACCGAATCTGTGCGGAGCTCCCTCAAAACACACCAAGCGTACTGAAACTGTAATATTGGCTGTGAAAGGGATACTGATGAGCACTTGGAAGAACCGGCACCGTGTAACTTGAGCATAAAGTGATCCGCTCAAATGCCCGGGGGCCATAGACCGGACGCAGAGCCTCAGAGGACTGTGGGGATAATAGCTCAGCTCCATAGGAATATCATGTGAGAAGGGCTTAGAAGAAGGAGGTGCACACACTAAAACACATGCCGTCTGCCCAGCAAGCTGTACTGATACTTTAATGACGTGAGCTTTGGGTCGATAAAATACATTTGTGACGGGATAAAACCATGTCTCCAGTGGGAGGATTCGTTGAGGTCACTGCAGCAGATGGTCAGCTGTGCCAAGGGAAAGCAACTCTCAAAGCAACCGGTCAATAATCAGTGAGGTGGGACCTCCAAAATCACAGCAGACATGAAATGTTGTACTGGCAAATTTTGGGGGGGAAATATTTTCTTCTTTTGCTTTACATCTTTTTTTTTAATTGAATAATTCAGTCTCTTTAATTGAGACGTGATAGTATAAAAATGAGAATTACCGGCTTGTATGCCGTATATCAAGTTGCAGTTTACGTCCATGTCCGTCTTAATTTGTCATCACTTCATTTCATCCTATTAGGCCTTCGTGTGAAACTTCTCTGTTTTGTGAGGTAACAGTGACCTTGACCTTATCTTTGAGTCCAAACTAAACCCTAACACATAATGTGTCCGACCGGTGCGTAGGCATAGAAACACACTGTGGCAGACAGCAATGAAGGAGTGGTCCTTTCAACATTCAACCCATGGACCTGAGGACACTGACTTAAGGGCTGGAAGCAAGACAGACGTTATTAGTTTTCACCAGGTTTGTTGATTTTCTTAAACAAAAACTACCATCAGAATACCACCTGGACAGTGCACGATGCTATAATCGCTTAAAGATTGCACACATAGTGGCTTTAAAATGAGTCCAATAATCTAAAATCTATCAGTAAAATCTCTAAAGGCCAATTCTTAATTATGGAGATTAGTCAGCATTAAACGCCCTGACCACCATCAAACCTCAAAGTTGGTGTTGAGGAAGGTGTTATCTGGGTGTCAGTGTGAGCATCAGCAGGTAACTGGACTAAAAAAAGGGGGGATTGTGATTAGAGAGTGGCACCTGTGTGGACAGATGAGAGACTCATCTCATCCCTCTCTTCCAGCCTTTGCACTTGCTGCCAGATGTGCAGCACAGTCACATAAATAATATAGCCGCAAAATGGGAAAGGGCTATTACAAGAAGATGCTCCCGCAATTCCCACAATAATTTATAAAAACAGGTGAGGGGAGGTTGTAGTTGCCTCAATTGAAAGACCAAGGATATGAATATAAACAGTAATTCATAGAGCCGCTGGAATAAAATAATTTGCCACATATTTCAATAATCTCTAAGAAACAACTGCAACGACAGCCCTGCAACATACATAGGCAAAATAAGTAATTTATACAATTTTCATGACATTAAAAAATGTTGATATAACAGCTACACTTCCTGTATTTCAACACAACCAACTCTTCCCGGCACTCCCCTCTCCAACTCTAACCCACGTTTCCATCGCTGTCTTCTGACAAGTCACCTCTCGAGAGATTTCAGAACGAGACTTCTCCTTGAGCGAGACTTGGTTGGAAAATAAAAAAACTATAATCAGATACCAGTATTTAAAAATATGAGCCTGTCAGTGGACGTATAACGACGGTGAGGAATTGCCCCGAAAGCTGCATCGCTCTCGCTGAATACTGGGCCAATTTAAAAAATCCAGGTTGTAAAAATCCAGAAGTTTCCCTTTGATACACTAAGACATGTAGCTATGCTCCAACAAAGGCAGTGAAGAAGAAGACTGCCAGCTAGCAAACATGGATGCAAACAATGCCGATTTCTAAAGCTGGCTTGACAGGTGTTTAACGTAGCCTGAAATGCATTCAACACGCTTGTTGGATCTCAATGATACACAACAATGCATTTTGTTGAGTAACAATGAATGCAAATAGAAACTGCTACACCTACGTTGTACGTCTGTTTCAAAGAAAAATCCACATGGGCAACTTTGATGTTGGAAAAAAAAAAAAGATCTCAGTGCACACCCTGTCTTACCTCCTTTTACATCTGCAGAATTTCAGAGACCTTGGTACATGCGGGACACTGCATGTGCAGAGTTTCATGAAAAGGCTTAGCTTGAAGGATCAGGCTGAAGTCAGAAGGGGTTCAGGGGAGATCAAAAAAAACTTTAGTATCTGTACAATGGCAGAGGTTTCAGGAGAGAAAGACTGGCATTAGAAAATAGAACAAAATGGCAAGGGAGATAGGCACAAGCGTACTTTTCTGCCCACTTGTCTGCCAAATAAAGGGTCACAAAGAGGAGATACCGCGCAATTCTTTTTTTTGTGAGAGGCACAGAAGAGTGAGCAAGAGAGCAGAGGAGGTGTGCCAAGAGAGCGAGAGAGAAAAAAAGCCTGGTTACGTTTTGTAGACAATAAATGATTGAGGTGATTTTCTTTTCAGTTTCGCAACGATTGATTAGACGAGGGAGAAAGCAGATAGAAAGAGAGAGGACCCTTCGAGGGGAACTGTAATTAACCTCACTGTGCTGCTTACATCAGAGGCTGGACTGCATTGGGCACACACACACACACACACACTCACACACACACACACACACACACACACACACACACACACACACACACACACCAATGAACACACTTTCCACCTTCTGGCTTGAAAGTTAGGCTTCAGTATGGCTGCAGGGATGTCGACAGGCACTGCATGGCAGGCGGTTTTATGTATCAAACTACCTGTGTGTCCTTGTAAAAATGATTCTCATATTCTGAAGAGCTATCTTCGCAGTGAACCCTTGTAATGGATTTTTTTTTAATGATACACAAGCAGCACCACTTCATTCTTTGTACAACAACTACACAACCTATATGTGCAATATCTCCAACGGCAATGAGAGGCAGATTATTTGAGCTGGGGCAAGTACAACTAAGAATCTTCAGTATTCGCAGCTTTAAAGGCTACGGTAGCTGTCTGGGGAGATGTAGAACAAGTTTTTGCACCTTTTCAAAATGATGTTCCATCAAAGCCGAACTTGATGGGAACATTTTCAGCTCAGTGGGAAACATATGGTTTTTAATCTACTGACCACAGGGGTTGGCCTATCCCGGGATTCCGCAACAATCTTCAGCACCAAATAGCTTTCTAGATGGAACGCAGATCCCAAATTAAAATCTCAGAAGCGGCGGACCGTCCGGGGTCATCGCTATATCACACTATAATTTGCCAGAATTGCTGACGTTTCCTCCCCGACTGCGATTAGAGAAGACTTTTCAGGTTCAAAGCCCCAACCAGCCTAGTATCTCCTGGATTTATGAGCATATTGCTGGAATCTGCCTGGCACGATTTACGGCCAGTGCCAACATGTCAGCATTTATGTAGGCAGAAAGCACGGTGGGGCTGGATGGCTGTCACAGGTCTGCAATGAATGCTTGCATTTCAATTGCTGACAGTAACTTGCCATGCTCAGACACTGCAGAAAGCACAAACTTTTTGTTTTTTGTTTTTGAATGCAGCCCAGGATTTTTGCAGAATAATCAGTCATCTATCCCTGCTGTCCAAGTCTGGAGATAGGGTTGTCCCAACCTAAAATGTCCTTCGGAAAGACCTTGAATCCCCTTCTGGGGCGCTGCTCAGTAGCTCATCTTGACCTCTGACCTCCCCAGAGGAGAACAAGCAAATAGAAATTCTCCCTACAGATTAATAACGTATTAGACTATCGTCACTTAAAGTGCTTAGAATTCAGATAGAATATGCAACAAATTAGCGCTGACAAGACCTGAATATTTTTTTATACACAGAGAATTGGTGTTGTATCGATGACTTCACCTGTACTGTATGTGACATTATGGTGACGCTGATTGTCATTTAGCTCCTGGTCTACTGCTAACCCAGAGTGCGCATCTTAAATCATCATAAACATATGGCTCCTGTCATCTGTTGGTGCTCAGGGATTTCCAGAGCGACAAAACGGTGATTAAATATGTCATCAACATTTTAACAGTGTGTCAATTAAA